CCCTGTGAGAAGCAATTGCTACAGTGTCTTTCCTGGGTCATTTCATTCCCAGGAAAACTGCAGAATGTTCCTTCTGTATTTGCTCCAGGGACAGGGAGGATTGTGAGTACAGAAGGCCACACTCCTCCTACACTGACTGATATAATGTCCCCGAATATCTCTGCTAGTGAAGGGCACACTCTGGAAAACTCACGTCTTGATGCTCTTCCACTGGCGTCCATTTAGTCCCTTTCAACATGTGTTTATTGTATTTTCCCATCCACGTGTGTAAAAGTCATAGCAGTTGCCCTTAAGTGTTTAGCTTGTTTTCTTTATTTGATAGGGACTTGGCTTCTGAGAGGAGTCAAAGATGGAGAAGAAATGGGCGAGGTGTATCTCAGGGCCCACTGTCCGAAAGTCAGCAGTGAAATCTGCTTTTGCCCTTTTCCACATCAATTTTTCATCATTTTGCATATGTTTGATTCTCCCTCATAACTCCAGGGTTTTAGTTTCTTTTTGAAGCTATTAATTGCCTAGAGTTACAGAACACTGGAGCAAAGAACCAATCAATCTCATAACTATCATAAGAAAAGCATTAAAACCAGCAAAACATATTAAGAATATTCCTGTAGATGTTTATAGCTATTTTCTGTAATAAAGAGTGAAGTTTATAGTCTGTCTGGTAGCATAATATGCTCAGGAAGAGGCAAAGATGCTACTGAACAGTGAAAAAGAACATTGCAAAGAATTTTCCAGTTATGCAGTTTTAAGGGTGAAGTTCTAAGATGGGGATAAATCTAACAACTGCAATAGTGTTTTCTCAGATCTAATTTTAAAAATATTAGCTTCTGGAAATCTCTTACCTGTTTCTTTGTTTACAATTATTCTGAATGTTTTCTGTTATCTTTGATGAAATTTGAAAAGAGCTGGATCCTTGGCTGGGGGAGTGACCTGCTTTTGCTTAAAAAGGCACTTGTTGGGTAGCGTCTCTGCATGATTTTTGAAAGTTATCAGAGGTGAGAAGGGTAATTGAAGCTTCCAGAATCAAGAAAAACTACAAAAGAAGCTCATTTTTATAAATGGTGTTGTCTGTCTTATATAACCCCCTGGAAGACACCCAGTTCTCACTTCTAAGAGCTCTTATGAGTCAATTTGTCATTTGATATTTTGTAGAGTTTGCAGTAAACGGTAAGAAGTGAATTCTTCTATTAAACTTCAATGATTAACTAAATCCACTCGATTTCATACTGTAGTTCCTTGAGGGAAGCGATTCCATCTCTTTCCTCTCCTTGCCCAGCCAGCTCCCAATATGGAGAACAGTTTCTTACATGTGCTACAGGCCCAACAAGTATTTGTAGCATTAAACTGAATTCGGGAAATTCCCCTTCTTCGGAGTATGGAACTGAAAACACATGAAGCCAGAAAGTTTTGCCATCCTCACCCCACCCCCATCAACCCCCAAGTATCTGCCTTTCCTGGGGCTGGTGATGAGAATCTCCCCAACCTCTCCCCTGCTTCCTCTTTCTGCTCATCCCTCCTCCTCTTCATCCTCCAGTCTCTTCTGTTTCTTCCCGTTCCCCTCTTCCTTAGAGATTCTAAGCAAGAAATCTATATATGCAGAGAACAAAACCAACCAGGAAACAAGATGCCGATTTATTAATAGCTGGGCAAGGACTCAATCATTCCGATGCAAGGAAGATTTGGAGAATAAGGTTTAGGTAAGGAAGTCTAAGGAAGGCTTCTTTTTGTTTCCTTGTCCCTGAGTCCAAGATTATCAGGAGTCCACTTAGCTGCCAGAATACATCAAGATGGATAGAAGAAGGTCTTACTGCAAGACAGCAGCCCCATCAGGGTCCTGGGCCGGAAGCATAGAGCTTACCACGTGGACACAGGGAACGATTCAGATGGGACTGTCCTTTAACACGGGTGTTCTGACCACAGGTAAAAAGTGGCCAGTGGGAGGCTCATGTTCTCACCAACCAGGGAACAACCGGTTCTACTTTGGACAGGGACTAGTGGAGGACCAGGGGAGAGGGCAGAAGAATGGGGGTGCCTGCTGCCCTCCTGGACTGAGACGGGAAGTGGAAGAGGGAACTGAGGGTTCCCCGACAGAGAAGTATAGACACAGAATTGGAAAGTGAGTTTAGGATTCCTTTTGATCTCTATTGTCCAGAGGAAACCAGGCCACAGAGCTCGGATTTTTGCCCTGGACCCAATTCAATATACGAATCATCACCACTGGACCTCTGCTTGACCCTCACCCCCTCCACCCAGCTTCAACCTCTCCAAATTATTTCCCTCTATTCATCAAGTTGCCGCCAAATTAGACATCTTTTAAGTTCCTTACACAGCCTCTGTACTTTTCAGTCTCCATATCTTTATTTTAGTCCCTCCCACCACTCTGTCATAAACTTCTACAGTGGGCCCTGAGTATTCATGGGTTCTGCATCTGCGAATTCGACCAACTGTGGATAGAAGATATATATATATTTTATATTCCAGAAAGTTCGAAAAGGCAAAACTGAAATTTACCTAGTGCAGGTAACTATTTACATAGCATTTACATTGCATTATGAGTAATCTAGAGATGATTTAAAGTATACGGGAGGATGTGCATGGGTTATATGCAAACATTACACCATCTTATATAAGGGACTTGAGCATATACAGGAGTCCTGGAACTGATTCCCTGCAGGTACCGAGGGACAACTGTGTATCCTTCAAGACCCAGTTCAGATGCTACTTCTATATGACAGTCCATGATTGCCCCAACCAGAAATAGTTGCACCCTCATGGGTGTGTCCGATGTGTGTCTTATAGTGCAGAGAGCAAGGATCTAGCAGTCTGAGTCTGAAACCTGGCTACCCAGCTTTTTAGCTTTGCCCTTGAGCAAGTTACTTACCTTTTCTTGTTACTTGGTTTCCTCATCGTATATCATACAGGGAGTTGCTACCTTATAGTGACTGACATCATGTAAATTATATAATCTAATGCCTGACACACAGTAAGTCAGTCTCCAAAAAGGGAGCCTACTATTCCAGCTCGTAGCCATCTTTAGCATCAATTACAAAATATGGTGAATTACATTTATTTGTAGACCTGAGTTATCTCCTCCCACTGGATAATTCACTTGCTGTGGCAGCAACAATAGCTTCCCATGTTTGTATCCCTTCCGTCCCCACCCCAGGGTCCTGCATGATGCACACAAACAAAACCAACAGCATGGACTTAAATGTACCAAGATAGACCTGACCCTCTACATCAGTTCATATCGCTCTAAATCATTAATCGCTGCTTACCTTGAATGGGCACTGTATAAACTAATTAGTATTACAGAACACTACGTATATTAATTTACTCAAAATATCAGATGACCAAAGTTTATATTTTTGCAGACATCGGATGTATTTTTTAAAACAGTGCTTTGTTTGAATAAAGTATTAAAACCTATTCATCTTTTATCCTAACGTTTGCTTAGCCATTGCCAGAAGTTCAGGCCTTGCCAACATTTTTTCATCCACCTCTTTAAGAATTATTTCCTTTAGATTTAATCTGATTTTTTTTTATTACAGCACACTCTTATCAAGATCATTTAATAGACACCTCAAATGAATAAAAGTTAAAAAAAAAAAAAAAAGAAAAAAAGAAAATAGAAAGGGCTTCCCTGGTGGCGCAGTGGTTGAGAGTCCGCCTGCCGGTGCAGGGGACACGGGTTCGTGTCCCGGTCCGGGAAGATCCCACATGCCGCGGAGCGGCTGGGCCCGTGAGCCACGGCCGCTGAGCCTGCACGTCCGGAGCCTGTGCTCCACAACGGGAGAGGCCACAACGGTAAGAGGCTCACGTACCACAAAAAAAAAAAAAGAATAAAGGTTGTTTAAATGTTGTTCATTACTGAGGGTAATGAAGATTCTTTATAATCAATACCCTATGCCTTTCTGCTTTACCAGGGCAGGTTTATGCCACAGCCGGGCTGGGAACAGCATCTAAACTCCTCTGTGGAGTAGACAGACCCCTTTTGTGAGTGCACGACCGATTCAAGTATATGCCTCTTAAGCTCAGCTTGAAAAAAGTAAAATCAAAGAAAAAACACAACAAACCTGTGAGTATGGCAAGTTTAGATCACATTAACTCTACACCATCATTAAAGGCAGAGTTCTTCCAGAATCTGGAAATACCCAACGGGCCCCCAAAGGGCCTCTTTGTTCCAGCCCTGCACTCCTAAAAGAGCAATTCCAATCCCAACAGCCCGGAGGGTTACACAGTTGGCCCTGGGCACGCCTGCCAAACTCCCAAGACAGTTCCCAGGAACTTTCCGAGGGCTGAAGTGTTGACAGGCTCGCGAGCAGAAAGAGCGGGCTGTTAATAGGAATATACATCTCAGAGAGTCAGAAACCAACCTACTTAGATTTCCCAGACCATCCTCCACTCCATTTCTCTCTTCCAAACAATCCAAGTACAGATTCTCTTTTTTAAACCTTCCTCCAGTGAAGTATTTACGTCCCCGCTTCTCCCCACCCGGAAAAAAAAAGAAGCTGTAAGGTTCTCGATGCCAAGGAGAGTCAACTCACCTCCCTCTCTGCCCCCCAGGTTCTCCCGGATTCCAAGGGGCGGGGCGGGGAAGGGCGGCTTTGGCGGCAGCTTCCCTCCTGGGTCTGCCCTCGTCTCACTCGGCACCGCCCTCACCTCGTGTTCAGTCCTGTCTTCTGGGGCCTCAGGGCAACTGGAAAGTATCTTTTGCTTACCAAGAATGCGGGGACCCCTGCAGTTCAGGAAGGTTTTTATTTTACTTTCTTCTAAAAAGGCTTTGTTTTTCTAAAAACACATATAAGACTATTCTGATGGTTTTAAGGACATCAGTGCCTCCGTGCTAGATATTGAAGCTCTGAGTTGGTACATTTAAAAGGTAATGAGAGATCAATTAGACCTCAAGAAAGCTGGAGAGAAAAAGTTAATGAGTCAGAGAGAAAGAAAGAAAGAAAGAGAGAGAGAGAGAGAGAGAGAGAATGCTAGCTGCCCTAAAACTGATCTTCCTCTTCTACAATAATAAAAGCCTTGACATTGAGCTGAGGTACCTGACCACCTAGAATACAGCCTTCCTTTCTCGAGTTGCCCAGCAGCTAAAGGAGGCCATCTAACTAAATTCTGGCCAATGCGATGGAAGAAGCAGCTCTAAATGTTCTTTGCAGAGCATGTTCCTCAGTCCAGAGCAAGCCCCTTCTTCCAGCCCTTCCTCAATCCAGCTGCCTGGACAAGGAACTTGGTGCCAAGGGCAACATGCTAGGAATGACAGAGTAACAAGATATATAGAAGGAACCTTGCACGATGCAGCCAAGTGTCTATCTCTGGACTATTACGTGAGAGAGAAATACATTCCTATCCTGTTTATGCCACTGTTAATTTGAGTTTCTAGTTTATTTCATGGAGCCAACCATATTTGAAGCAGAGATGGGTTTTCAATGAAGTGAGTGGAGCATAAACTTCAGAAACCCTCCCTTGTCTGGGATTATTCCAAGGCGGGAGGAAGAAACTTGGCCTTGTGTTCCCATGGTCATTTTGTAGTCTTTCCCTTAAAGGGTTCCCCCGAATTGCATAGGCCCCATGACCTGAATTCATACCTCATGCTCAGTAATTCAATGAAGCTTTTCAGGTGTACCTCTTCTGGTAAGCGAACCTGAAATACAGAACGGCAAGTAAATACGTCAGAGCTCTCTCCTGCATGAGCTACACTCTAACGTACTTGGTGAGATTTAAGAATATTTAAGAATATCACAGTCTATTGTTTCTCAAAGTATATATTCTTAGATAATAATGACTGTTGTAAGAAAAAGGAGTTTTATGATCAAATAATTTGGGGAAATGCAGTATTAGCTAAAACGTTTGTGAATATGTGAACTTATATTAAAGTTCTCTCAGAGGATTTCATTTGCAAGTGTGAATACGGAATCTCCCTAAGAGAATGCTGTGTTTTTTAAACTCATTGGATTACTAAACCCCCCTATTAAGGAGTTGTTCACGGGCTAGTTTTCTGAGGAGCACAATTTAGAAATACCCACCAGGTCTCAGCTGAAAATATTTGTAGACTATCTCTTAGGACAAAGTCTGTGATTTTTTTCTTCCTTATCTTATTTTTTTAAGTTGCTCCCTGTCTGGAGTTTGTTGCCCAGTAAGCGTGAATTCCAACAATATTGCCGTTTTTAGATTTACACTGGCACATCGCTCAAGTCTCCAACAAAAGCTAGGAGTATTATGTACAAAGTATTAGGTCACCTGTGCGGGAAAGGGTGTGACCTCAAGGGAACTGGGGTCCCACTGAGGTTTTATCTCCCACGAGGAGGTTTTTTGATAGTGAGGTATGGAAAGCTACAATCACGATTGAGAAGTGGTTCTACATAAAATCCCTTCTGTTTTTGCCTTGTGTCAATGTTTGTAGAAATGTCCCAGCTCATTTGTGGGAGTTAGATTTTCCTTATAGGGAAATAATTAGTCTCCAGGCTTCTTGCCTTGAACTGAAATTTAAGTGTTCACACTTGTATTTGTCTTCTCAGGTTTCTGTATCAGAATTCCACAAACTGGGTGGCTCAAAACAACTCTCTTCTAGTTCTGGAGTCTAGAAGTCTGAAATCAAGGTGTCAACAGGGCCATGCTTCCTCTGAGACTCTGGGTAGAATCCTTCCTTGCCTCCTCCTGGCGTTTGATGGTGGCTGTCGGTCCTTGGTGTTCCTGGGCTTACAGCTGCATCACTTCAATCCCTGTCTCTGTCTTCACATGGTTTTTCTCTTTTTACAGAAAGTAGAATATCAACATATCTTTTGGAAGGATAAGGCTCAACCCATAACACCGCCAAAGAACCTGTAATTATCTTTTGGGCAGCACACTGTCATAGTGGACAGAGCTCTGAGTTAGGAGGGAGAAGCTCTGAGTTGGTGTTGGGCAAATGTCTAGCCTGCATTTCCATATACATAACCAAGGATAACAATACACTCCTTGATTTCCCTCTAAGGATTGTGACAAAGATCTAGAAAAGTGCTTTGTGGCCTTTCAATGATAATAGAAGTGCTGTTGCTGTCTTTAAAGGGCGACATGGCCGGTGTGGGCAACTGACATTTAGTATATCATCTCATACCTAACTTTAGGCGATCATTTTGACTTCTACCGCATATAGCTCCTTAGTAGATAATAATTTTTTTTTTTTTTTTTTTTTTGCTATCCTTGCATTGTCACCTAAGTGATGTCAGGTGGTGAGGGGAATCCTTGCAAGTGCAGCCAGCTCACAAATTGAATATGAAGCACTGAGTAATGGAAAAATGCCCATATTGCTTTAATAACAATTCTTTGTGTTTTAACTCAAGGTAAATGACTGAAAAATGCCAGTGGAAGACTTTTTTAAGACTAGATGTTAATTGGTATATACAAATTTCCTCAGCATCCATTGTATATAAACTACTACTCTTAAATTTGATGCAATAATAATGAAACAGTAGAGCTGTGGTTCATAAACTGATGTCCTGGGTCTCTAGAGGCACTGCAGGTAGTAATAGGGATTTGCATGCAAGTTCTAATTTTGCAGAAGTCCCTAAAATCATATTTTCATTTAGTTAGCACAACATACTAAAATGTTCTTCTTTTTTCTTTGGATTGAATTTATTACATAATTTTGATTATACTGGTTATCTCAGGCTGGGTAGACGTTCTCTTTGGCAACTATATACCTTTTTAAACAAATAAAAATGAATTATTTATGATGACATAGTTAAGATCATTTAAAAATCAAACTGGAGTAAATGTGGTTCAGGCATCCAAAAATGGAGCCAGGTGGCCATCGCGGATTTGGTTTCAGACATGTTTCTGCATTACTAAGAAGCTGAATTGTCTGAACTGTATCAAACTCATGGACACCACCAGCCATTTTCACAACAGTATCTCTAGCAGCTGCCAACCTTATGGTCTCAAGGTCTCCCCTTATAACTATGCAACCATTTCAGACCCCAGTCAATCCTTACTTAACAAGCACCCTTACTTCTTGCCAGCTCCAATCCTAATTCTTGACAAACATCTTATGTAACTTTGCGGTTTAGGCTGTTTATTATTTACGTCGACATTTATAATGTGTAATTTTTTGGTATACAGAATCTTAAAAAACGTGAGAATAGAGGGAGATTGAGATTTTAAGAAGAGATTCTTACTAGTTAAAATGTTGACAAAAGGGTAGCTTTAAAAGGTATGTACTGATCATATGACCCCCTTTTAATGAACATAGACAAAACAAGACAGTCTCCCAAATACTTTGTTCTATTTCTGCTTAAAACCATTACTTGACTTAAATGCATTTTAACTATGACCTTCTAGAATTTCCTGAACAATTTTCCGCTGTTTAAAACGTAGTTGGCTGATTGATTCCTTTCACATTTCAGAAATGTCCTGTGTCATTTTAATGATTATGTGGAGTGTGTGTTCCCAGCACTATAAGTATATGGAGCCAAAACACTAGAGAGAATAATTTATATATTTAGGCAAAACCTCAAAGAGGGCAGAATGCTTTTATGATATAAGGCTTAAAGTAAGACAAAGCCTGGGAGGGCAGAATCACCATTCCTGGAAGATCTCAAACCCCGATTCAGAATACTCTACACAAGGAGACTATGATGTTCTAGTACATTTATTGAAGCAGTCTGCCCTGTTTTATGGTGTGATAATCCCACATGATTTCCCACACTGTCCTCGAATCCTGAGAAAATCAATAGAAACTGCATCCCTGACTCTTCTTAGCTGGTTTCTATCGCTTTCCCTAAACTTGAATTTAATATGATCTTATATATCATACATTTTTTTTCTTAGAGTCGAATAGGTCCTTATAACAAAGTATTTTTCACTCCCTGGGAAAGATGTTCCCAAGGGCCAGGGTATGTTTTCCCTTTTATCCAGAGACTCAACAATAAGCAGCTCCTCATCTTTACTTTTTCCAATAACTTGTCTTAAAATCAGTTCATTTCCTTTAAAGGAGGGGATATCACATGACATTCCCTGGTGGAGGGCATATGCAGTGAGAAAAACCACTTCCCTAAGTGATTCTTTTTAAATGTACACCTTTTTATAAGGTATAACATACATACATACTAGCATTAAGGGTTCAGCTCAATGACATTTTATGTAGTGAACCCACTTTTGGGGCCACAACTAGAAAGAGAAATCAAAGTTTGTCAGCACCCCAGAAGTCCCTCTAAGGCCACCTCCAAGTCACTCCCAACCCTACTCTACCCCAGAAAATAAACAGTTTTCTGACTTCTATCACCATAGATTACTTTGTCTGATTTCAGACAGTATACACTCATTTGTACCTGGCTTAGCATTCTGTTTGTTGAGTCTGCTGAAGCAGTGATTGGTTCATTTTTATTGCTGACTCATACTCTGTGGTATGAAAAGGTAATCATTTATTTTTCCATTCTGTCTTGGATGGACCTTTGCATTGTTTCTGACATTTAACTCTTTAAGAATACTGCTGCAATAAAAATTGTTGTGCATGTCTTTTGGAGAACACATGTACATATTTCTGTGGATATACATCAAGAAGTGTAGCTCCTAGGTCAACAACAGTGGTGGGCTGGAGCAGTCTTGTACCGGCTTATAAGAGCCCACAGTTAAATCTTTAGGAAATTTGCAATCCAGTTGGTAAACATAATTAAAAATTGTTATATAAACTTACAATTAAATAAATTATTTAAAAAATAATAAATACTCAAAACCTTTCATATCCTTATTTTTCTTTTACTACATTTTGCTATTATTTGTTCTCTCAATATTATTTGCATTTCTGGTGTCTATATGGTAGAAATATAACGGTGTGCTACTATGTATCTCTTCTCAAATCTGCATTCAAGAGCATCATGTAAGTAGCATTACACTGGTTTTGGGGGTAGTAAATATACCATGGACATTGGCAATTACTAAAAATCGGGACTTGACTTAGTGTTTTCTTTATCATCAAGACTTACAAAGATGGAGAAAATATTAATAATGCAGATTAAGTGTAAATGTGTATCGTACTGGTAGCCATTACATTGTAAGTAGCATAAAAAATTGAGAAAATATTTTTGAATATTTGAAAACTATTATTCAATTCAGCAAACAATCGTTCCTGTTATCAACAAGTGAGTGAAGTTCCCAAACACGTCTTTTGGGTTCACTTTTGTCTTACCTGTGAATATAAACAAAAATATCAATCAACATTTATGTTGGAAATCCACTTGGAGAATGTTAAATATTCATCAGAAAACCACTGGTCAGAAGGTATAATTATGTTCAGTTTTAGTAGAAAAGGCCAAACAGTTTTCTGATTTATACTCCCATCAGCAATACATGAGAGTTTCACTTGCTCCTCATGTACACTAATATTTTGTTGCAAGTATTTTTTTTTCTTTTAATTCCAGTCATTCTGATTCATCTGAAATCACGTTGTTTTTATTTGCATTTCCTAATGATATTGAGCATCTTGTCAATGTTAATTAGCCAAATCCCTTTAGGAAGTGTCTATTTTTATACCTTTTGTGCATTTTCCTGTTGAGTTGGCTGTGTTTTTCTTATTGCTTTGCATAAGTTCCTTATATAGTCTTTGTCAGATATACATCTTATATCTGATGTCTTATATGACCATTTGTAGTATGACTTTTCCTTCCCTTAATGGTACTTTTTAGATCTTAATTTTAATGTAGTCCCATTTATCGATCTTTCCCTCTATGGTTTTGGTGTATCATTAAAAAAAATATTTGCCTACACCAAGGTCATGAAAATACTCTCTTAGGTTACCTTCTAAAAGCTTTATTGTTCTTTCATGTTTAGATCTATAGTGTCCCTGGAGTTGATTTTTGTAGGTGGTGTAAGATGAGGATTTAAATTATTTCTTTTCTACAAAGGTATCCAAATTCTGTCTGATTTTTCCATATGGATACCCATATGCCATTTGTTCAAAATACCATCTTACCCTTTTGCAGTGTAGAATAACTGGTCATAAACTGAACAACTGTACATGTGTATGTCTCTTTCGGACTCTGTTCTGTTCCATTGGTTTATTTGCCTTTCCATGTACGAAGACCACAGCGTTTAAAATAAGTCAAGATATAAGGTTGTGTTAAGTCCTGTAACTTTGTTTTTCCTCAAGATTGTCTTGCTTACCCTTGGCTCTTTAATTGTCATAAAAATTTAGGGTTAGCTATTTCTCAACTTGAGATAGGGATCAAAGGAGAGGGGATATCACATACATAATATGTTGGTGTATACATTGTGTGAAGAAGTCTCTTCTGATTTTGATGATGCATTAGGTTTGTGAGCTACATCATTAGAATGACTTGGGCAGCAAATAATAGAAAACGTCACACCAACTGGTTTAAATGTTAAAGAACTTTGTTGTCTCACTTAACAAGAATCTATTCAAGGGAATATGGCTCCATTCGTGGCATAATCAGTATCTCTAGGTCAACTTCTGTATGATTCTGCCTTCCTTGTGTTCTGGTTTTATCTTCAGGCTAAGAGATGTCCATAAGCAACAATGGCCAAAGAAAGGAGCAGTTTCTTCTTCGTGTCTTTCTCAGGACAAAAAGTCCCCCAACCAGAATTCCCCTCTTGCCTCATTGGCCAGAATTATATCCCATGTCTTTGCCTAAATCAGTTACTAGTTAAGAGAATGGGACCACCATGACTGACTTAGATAGACCTCAGACTAGGCTTATTTCTCATTAGGTACATGTTCTTGCTGAAGTGGGTGTCTATCTGAACAAAAACAGAGTGGAGAAAGTAGTGGTAGGTAAGCATATAATAATTTCTGCTACAATTTCCCTTCAGTTACTCAATATCCAAACACATTCTATTTCTTCTATCTTCACTTCCAAAGATAATCATTACTGTGTAAATTAACGTAATTGCTTTCTTAGATGAAAATAACCCAGTGTATTTTTCAGTTAATATGTCCAGCTCTTACCAGATTCTTCACTTCCCAGAAGGACCAGAATTCTATAAATCCTCTGACCCTCCAGTACCTCTCTGTAGCCATCTCTATGCAAATGTAAACAGCAAATCTCACTGCAGTTAGCTGGGCATTTTGAAATTCTCTTTGTCTCTCTCCATTTGACATCTGCACTGACCCAAGGTCCCTTATGTCAGTAGAGCTGGGCATCATTGAGCCCTTTAAGCACATTTTCCTGACTCTTTCCAAGGCATGGACATTCAATGATTATGAAAGTTTCATTATTGCTGCTCAGTTTCTGCTTATACATGAGATCTCTTATGATTCCAGTTAATAAAAGATATCATGGCAGAACAGGAATAACAAAAGCATTTTATCACAGGATTGAGCCTTCGATCTTGAGAGACAATGCTTCCCTATTTGACTAATCACCACAGGAAACCGGAAAAACCGAACCTGGAAGAGGCCTCCAAGAAACCAGAAATACTCACTGGGCCTCGAGAGGACTGAGCAGATGCTGTGCTGACCCTGTGATTTTGATCAACAGGTACAAGCAATGTCATGCTCTGATCTCATCCCAGCAACTCTGCTCCGGACTTGCTGAGAGAGAGGAAAAGAAGGGGTAAAGAGAAGCTCAGGAACTGTCTGAAAGTCACGTGCTTACTCAGCCCCATTTCCTGTACATCGTCCTCTGAATCATAGATTGATGAGGGCCAGGTACTGGAGAATATGGTAAACAGGAAGGGAGATTTATAGCTAACACACAAACTTCATACATACCCCGTCAGCTGAGTTCAATGTCATTAATTTCAGTTGAATTTGATTACAATTTATTGAGTTACTCCAAAGCAGATAGATCCGTGTCTAAGCATCTTATTTGTAGTGACAATTTTTTTTTTTTTTTTTTTGCGGTATGTGGGCCTCTCACTGTTGTGGCCTCTCCCGTTGCGGAGCACAGGCTCCGGACGCGCAGGCCCAGCAGCCATGGCTCACGGGCCCAGCCGCTCCGCAGCATGTGGGATCCTCCCGGACCGGGGCGCCAACTCGCGTCCCCCACATCGGCAGGCAGACCCTCAACCACCGCGCCACCAGGGAAGCCCTAGTGACATATTTTTAACTGTTGGTACAACTTCTGGGAAAGTCATGTAACCAGTCTGAGTCTCGAGACTAGGAATAACTAATAGCTATTCAGGACAGTTGGTTAATAGTAACTGATGCAGTATACATGACACCTGGCACACGGTAGTCAATCAGTGCTAGGTGATGTTGACTCTGTCTTCCTGATTACTGATAAGGATGGTGCATGCATGACAACAATAAAACAAAGAGCTCTGGCAGACTCAGTTCTCATAGCCACAAACGGTGTTAAGTACAAGAAAAAAAATTCGGAACCTCTCCAAGTAACTGACAGCACAATGCGACATAATGGAAAACAACCGCCAAGTGAAATCACAAATCATGCAAAAAATGCTCTGACAAAAGTGATCGTGAGGGAACTGCTCAAAGAATACACATATCTATTGATAACATTTGTTAGGTCGGTATAAAATATGCTAGTTGTACTTCTAACGGAAGGATCATGTGAGTTGGATCACAGGAATGTATATCAATTGCGCTCTGAAAACACTGCCATCGCACTGCACTAGTACTTAGTGTTATTTCCAATAGACCCCAACCAACCATGAGTGTTAGCACCATAGATCAACCTTCCCAGGACCTGATGGTCTCTGGATTAACCACACTCTAAGTTTTGAGCTGAGAGAACAAACACAATACAAAGAGCTAAAAGCAACCATAAATCTTTCTGGGTCAGCAAACTTGATATCAGTGCTATTCAGGCCCCCTCTTCAAAATTTTGTTTTTATTGAGATAAAATTCACCTAACACATTTTGAGCATTTGAAAGTACACAATTCAATGGCTTTTAGTATATTCACAACATTGTACAGCCATCACCACCGCCACACTCCAGAATATTCCATCATCCTCCAAAAGAAACCTCTCTTTTAAAGTGAACCTACCTTTGGAGGGGAAATCTATAAAGTCCAGCATTTATATATTTTCAGATTTCTTTTCTTTTCTTTAATTATTATTACTTTTTTGGCCGTGCTGTGCAGCTTGTGGGATCTTAGTTCCCCAGCCAGGGATGGAACCCAGGCACTCAGCAGTGAAAGTGCAGAGTCTTAACCACTGGACCGCCAGGGAATTCCCTCAGATTTCTTTTAATTCCAAAATACAATAAAAACTTTAATGTACTAGGGAAAAGGGGTCACTTGAAACAGGGAGAGAGAAATACTCTAGCATATTGTAAGTATCAATAATCCATTATTCCTGCTTCCAATGATTTCTGCCTCCTTGTAGCCACACCCTGTGTGATTTTCTCCCACATCCTATCAGGATTGGTCCAAGAGGCCAATCGAATACTGCAGAAGTGATGCTATGTCGTTTCCAAGGTAGGTTATAAAAGACATCGCGGTTTTGCCTTGCTCTACCTCTCAGATCTCTCTCTCCGGGGGAAGCCAGCTGCCATGTCACGAAGACGCTCAAGCAGCCTATAGAGCAGCTCACCTATCAGGGAACTGAAGCCTCCTGCCAACAGCCATGGCAGGCAGCCACCCTGGAAGCAGGTCATCCGGCCCTGTCAAGCCTTCAGATGACTGCAGTCCTGACCAACACCTTGAATAGAGCCTCCGGAGAGACCCTGAGCCAGAAACATCCAACTCAGTTGCTTCTGGATTCCTGAGCCTTAGAAACTACGTGTGATCATAAAGGTTTGTGGTTTTACACTGCTAAGTTTTGAGGTAACTTGTTAATGGAGTAACAGATAACTACTATAGCGGTGTTAGTGTAATGATTCAGCAAAGCTGCCAGCAGGAGAAGACGAAGTACGTGTGAAACGCGTGGAAATACAATCAATGCACAAACCCTTTAACTGGCACTCAGCTTAGGCAGGTCGGACTGCAACTTCCTTTAAGGAGTCCTTTCCCTGCCACCAGGTGCCCTGTTGCAACCTTTTTCCCCAATCAAAAATAGTCCTTGTTCAAATAAAACCTAACTCATACAGAAATCAACAGAGAGTCCCACATGGTGTGATTTTTTTCTGGACTCCATTTATGCCTAGAGATGGAGGACTTTTATCCCCTCAATCTCTGTTAGGACGGAGCTGAGAGAAGGCTGAAATAAGTACTTTCCAGAAGGGCCTTCCAATTTTTCCGTGTCTATTTTTACTGGATTTTTTTTTTGAAAGAGGTAAAACAAACAAAATGAAACAATTTAAAGTAAATGCAAATAAAATGGCAAACCACTTTAGAATAACTAGGGGGTCAAGGAAGAGAAGTTTGAAAATGTTAAATCAGGTATTAATACCTTCATCATTTAAAAATTTTCTGGAAAACGACTGGTTTCTCCTCCCCTGCTTAAAAATTTACTCAGACCCTCTATTCTTTTGAGTTGTGTAAACCACTCTACAGTGTTTTGTCTTGGAACCAAAATATGTTCATATAATTAAAACCTCCAGGTTGTTCAGATCTTGTTGAACCTTCTTTGCTTTGCTAACTCCTAGTAAAGTAAATGAACCTTTAGAGTTTGGGCCACGGACTTCAGCCATGTTTGACTAGAGGTTTTTGCCTGACACCCTTGTCAACAAGTTACCAGAGGTGGGGTTAATTTTCTCTTTGCAGGAATGTGACCCAGAAATGTGTTTAATGATCCTGGGTTCTGGTTTTCTTGGATTCGCAGTGGCTCTTAGACTGCAACTCTGAGAATAAGTCAGATGACGTCCAGTTATCAGCAGTTGGGAACCCAAATAAGCTCATCTCCTGTTTCATCAAATAAAAACATGACATAGAGGCATTTTGTTAATTGGGTGAGAAGGTTCAGACATTGGGTCCATGGGCCCACTGGTTTTTAAAACAGGCCAAAAAAGGTAATTAAGACACTGCTTTGGGCTCTCAGAATCAGGTGTTTAGACAAAAACGATAAGGTCTTTGAGCCAGACCCCTTATCTGCATCCTTCTCGTTTATTTCTATTGGTCTTTTTGGACTGTCCTTTGTTGGTGAGCTTACTTATTAACTAAAAAAATTTTTTGTTGCTTATACTTTGACTATTTCAATGATAAAGAGAAGTCCAGAAACAATATAATGGAAATCTGTGTATGCAACATCAAGATCGAACAAATGTTAAAATTTAGATTCTGTTTTTTGGAGAAAGAACATATTTTAGACCGAGTCAAGACTCTACCCCTGTGGTGGACAGGCCGTGGGGTTATACCCAGTGACCCACACTCTTGTATAGGCCCCTCCCCAGAACCTGTGACTTGTTTCTAATTAATAGAATGTGGCAAAGATGATGAGATGTCCCTCTCTCGACCAGGTTATGCTATATGGCAAAGGCTAAGGGATTTTGTAGATGTGATTAAAATCCCTCATCAGTGGACTTCAAGTTTACTGAAAGGGAGATTACCCTGTTTGGGCCTCACCTAATGAGGGGGTGCCTTAAAAGGGGATCTGGGGATCAGAGACTTGTAAAGACAAAGAACCTCTCTCTTTATCGCTGGCTTTGAAAAAACAAGTTTCCGTGAATTCCACAGCTGCAAGAAATTGAATTACGCCAATAACCAGACGGAGCTTGGAAGCAGGTTCTTTTCTAGTTGAGCTTCTAATGAGAACACGGTCTGGCTGACACTTTGATTTAAACCTTGGCGAGACCCTGCTCAGAGACCCCAGCAAAAAGCCTTGCCTGGACTTCTAACCTACAGAGACTGTAAGACAGTAAGTGGGTGTTAGTTTAAGCCATTAACCTTGTGGTGATTGTTATTCAGAGATAAAAAACTAACACAAGCGCTGATCTCATTCCTCTACCTCCTTCCCCATAGGTAACCACACGAAATGGTATTCAGCTTTACTAGAAGGAAAGGAGCTACAAATTTAAACTATGAGGTGCTATTTCATACTCTCTGAGTTGACAAAAATCAAAATGCCTGACAACCCCAAATGTTGGAGTCATAGGAAGCTTCATACACTGGAAATGCAAATGAAAATTGGTAGAGCCATTTCAGAGAGAAATTTTATGATGCTTATGGGACATAAATTAACTTTTAACAGGTTTTCATACTTTTTACTACATATATTTTGCATAGGTTTTAATGCATATTATCCATAAAGAATATTTGCTATTTTTGTGTGTTTTAAATTTTACATAAGTAGCATACTTTTGCAACTTGATTTTTTAATTCCGTATTATGTCATCAAGATTCATCTACTTTTATACATATATTCTTTTTAATTCAGTAAAATATTCTGTTATATTACAATACCACAGCTTATCCATTCCTCAAACTATACTGGGGCAAACACACCTGTATTCATCTTAGGAACAGTTTCCCTAGAGAATACACCTAAAAGTGAACATTTTAAGTAAAGCTGAGCGTCACTTCGTATGTTTTTGGTCATTCTGGTTTCTTCTTTGCTAAATGCCTGTTTGTGTTTTTTTTTTTTTTTTTTTGCGTTACGCGGACCTCTCACTGCTGTGGCCTCTCCCGTTGCGGAGCACAGGCTCCGGACGCGCAGGCTCAGCGGCCACGGCTCACGGGCCTAGCCGCT